TTGGTATTCCAATGGGAACAAATGCTGGCCCAGAAATTTCCAATCTAACGCTCTATTGGGATGAAGCACGCTTTATTGATGACATTCGTCAACATGATCCCCAAGCTGCTCAGCGATACGCCTTACCGCCTCATTGATGATGTTCTTTCATGGGGGCAATTACCTCCTCCTTMAGAGCACTATGGACTTGAGTGGAAGGAAACTACGGCTACAGATGGCTCGTGTACCTTTTTAGGTATGCATCTACGAGTACGTTCTGATGGTTCGCTTCGCATGAGCGTGTTTGATAAAGCGGCTGCTTGGGATTTCCCTGTTATTCGCTATCCAAGTGCTACCTCCAACATCCCTTCCCATCAACCGGCAGCATACAAAGCAGCAGCAGCATTCCATCGGCAGTGTCAACAACAGTGCACAGGTGAGCCTAAAAAACACCCTGGCCCCACCCAAACCCACAGACGGACCAACAAACCCCCACCCGCCCTCATTTGCACCCTTTTCCCTTCATTTTTTTGCGGGCAAAGCGGCAACTGGTAACCTTGTTATTAATAACTTATCCTAATCCCAATAAAGGGAAAAGCGGTCCTTGCGTTATGTCCCCCGCTGGCCCAAGAAAAATCGTGGTGGGAGGCTGTACTGGCGGGCTGCGCGGCGTCCGGCGAGTGCCCGCATCTTCGAATATTCAAATACCGACGGGCCGCGCGGCGCCTGGGAAGTGCCTGCGTCTCGAATGCTTGACTACATGTACATCGCAATGACGGGCCCAGCAAGCCTGCAGTGCAAAAGAAAAACGAATCCCGGGCTGGAACTTGAAAAGATACATTCTTTTTTTTGTGTTTTGACCCTAGGCTATCACAGTGGCTAGGGACCACTTGCCCGGCCGTGGATTGTTTCTGGCCTGCAGAAGCGTATAGAGTGTTGCAGTTGTGTGAAAATGTTGATGCTGATGATTTTTCTGGCCTACAGAAGCATATCGAGTGTTTCAGTTGGGGATTAGGTGGGTGGGTGGGTGGCGGGGAAAACAGGATGCGAGTGCGAGCCCTGCCTACCTACCTACATACCAACCTTCTTACCTGAGGCAAAGTTGTTCAGTTTATTTTTCTGCATAGCATTTTTTTTTCCAATTTTTTTTTGTTTTGTTTTTTGTTTTTTTGCTTGGAGTCTTGGACCATTTTTGGTCCTTGCATGGCCGGGCTGCCCAGGCAAACAAGGTGACCTGGGCGGCCCAGCTGGTAGCCAAAGGTTTTGACGATCACACGGCCTGCCCGAACAGGCCATACACGGATGTTAAATTACAAGTACATACAAAAGAAAAAGAAAAAAAAAAAAAAAAAAAAAAAG